ACCGGCATTAAATTGCATTTAGTAAATGGAGTGTTTACCCTTCCATCTTTAAAATCGTATCTTTATAATCATATCTAAAATTTAGAAGACTGGCGAATTCTTCATAATAGTTATTTAAAATCCAAGTAGTGGTTATACTTTGTTTTCCTGAATAATTATATAGTAGTACAATGCATCATTGACTTTAAAAAGCAAAAAGTTGAAAGGATGCATTCGTAATGGTTGTTATTATGATCTTAATAAGTAAATCAAGCTAGACATTGCACAAATTCAAAAGAGACACAGTTCTTGTCATGAAAATTTGTCTCTCCTGGTGTTTAATCTGGGCTACGGTACTATAATTCTCTATCCGTATTTTATGTGCTGCCCAGCATTTTCATTTAACACATCTTCACTGTAGCTAAAATGAATTATTTTATGCTTTGCACCCTTTTTAACGCATGGTGTAATGATAATTTTGATTATACAACTGCTGCGCAAAAAGCATCTGTTATAAACCATCGTTATATACAATGTATGGATGAATATGAAATGTACATCTATAGATTTTAAATGAATGGAATTTCACAGAAACTTAATAATTTAATTAATTATTATACAATTGAAATGACAAGTAAAAAATTTTCCAAAATGCAAGATTAAAAGAGAGTTTTCCTTGGACTTCCCTTGATCCTGCTTAAAGCTATTAAGAAGCTGACTGCATCTCTAGTGTGAAGTAAGTTGGTAGTACAGTACGAAGTAGCACAGATAGAAAGCTTTTCAGATAGCCCTGTATTTTGTAGAAATACCTTTACAAACAGAATTAGGAGATCAATTTTATTGCATTTTTCTTAGCTGGAGCAGGTATGATTTGTTGAAAATAAACATGGTGGATGGTGTGATTGCTCAACAAAGTTGAGCTAAAAATGTCCAAAGATTTTATTTGTTCATGCACAATATTCTAAGAGGTGATTCTGTCAACATTTTTGTTAGCAGTGCTATTAGAGATTCAGACACTTTATGAGACGTATATGTTTGTAGAGTGTCTTTGAAACACAGCAATTTGCATTAGAGCTAAGAAGATAATACTCTAATACATTGCACATGCAACTGCTTACTCATATTTCAACTGGGAAACGAAAATGTAATGAAACAGAATTCCATTTTGATAGCATTGATTACTCTGTAGGCAGTTTAACTTTTCAAAACCCTTTTCATAACATTCACATCTGCTTCTATGTCAAAGAGACAAACTTAACATGTATTGTGTTTTGTTAGTACTCTCTCAAGTGGCTTGAATACACTAACTGCTGTTTCAGCAATAAGTGAGTAATAATAAGTGATGCACTGTTAAGTTCTGAGTGCAACATAAAGAAAAAGCTCATTGCTTTTAGAATAAAAAAAGTAGAGTTATGTCCTGTAATATTTTGGACTACATGAATTCTAGATCTGTTTTTATACAGTGTGTTGATGAAGAAGCACAAATGCTGAGCATCTGAAATATGTGCACTTCTTTGTAGAAACTAAAGATTGTTGGTCTGTAGGTTGTTCTTCATGATAAGGTATATTATCCTAAATACATTGCAAGTTTTAAAAGGCAGCTTTTGAAATACAGGCTGTCACTTGCAGTGATATATAATGAGTAAGAATTTGGCAGGTCTTTTTTCTCTTTGATTTCTCTCACTTTTTCTGTTAATCCCTTTTCTTTACACAGCTAACAACTTTCATGCATGTAAATTAACAGCATCACAGCACTTATAATGCCACTTACTTTTAGGGAGCTAAGCAATCATCAACTTTTAAATAAAGATGAAACAAGTTAGTATTAAGTTATTTGTGATTATCCTTTACTTTCCTGATTCGTAACTCTAGTTGCAGGACAATGACAGGTCCAACCTCCCATCCTTTTCCAGCTTTGCTCTCCTGTCCCTGCAGGATGCTTCCGCTGTTGTCAGGCAGGCAGCACACTGAGGTGGACTCTTTGCTTTGCAAACTGTCACTACTAAAAAGCAAATCTCCTGGGCCATGACAATAAACCTTGGTTGTATTGTATTAATTTTTTCCTAATCACTTGAGTGTTTTGTTTTTCTTTTGTTATGTTCTCGTTACCTGTCTCCATAAATGAGCATAGTATTTTTACAAACAGCTCTCCAGACAATGCTTCACATAAAGCAGAATGTACTCAGTCTACCTGGGTTTATTACTTGTTATAGCACAAAAATCCTGACTGACCTTTAGCTAGATGTTGTAGGAAGGATTTTCAGCTTTTTCTCTCCTGATTGTTTCCCCAAAACTCTACTGAAGTACGGTCTCTGCCTGTGGAAGAGAGACTCAAGGTCTATATAACAAATAAATGTAAATACATATTCAACAGCTTTTTAAAAAGACATCTTGCCAAGTGCCGGATCCTGCACTTAGGTCACAACAACCCCATGCAGCACTACAGGCTTGGGGAAGAATGGCTGGAGAGCTGCCTGGCTGAAAAGGACCTGGGGATGTTGGTCGACTGTCAGCTGAACATAAGCCAGCAGTGTGCCCAGGTGGCCAAGAAGGCCAACAGCATTCTGGCCTGTATCAGGAACAGTGTGGTGAGTAAGGCCCGAGAGGTGATCATCCCCCTGTACTCGGCACCGGTGAGGCCTCACCTCGAATGCTGTGTCCAGTTTTGGGCCCCTTACCACAAAAAAGACATTGAGGTGCTGGAGCATGTCCAGAGAAGGGCAATGAAGCTGGTGAGGGGCCTGGAGAGTAAGTCTTATGAGGAGAGGCTGAGGGAGCTGGGGTTGTTCAGCCTGGAGAAAAGGAGGCTGAGGGGAGACCTTATTGCGCTCTATAACTACCTGAATGGGGGGTGTAGAGAGGCGGGGGTCGGAATCTTCTCCCAAGTCACAGGAGATAGGACAATGGGAAATGGCCTCAAGTTGCGCCAGGGGAGGTTTAAATTGGATATTAGGGAACATTTCTTCACCGAAAGGGTTATCAAGCATTGGAATAGGCTGCCCAGGGAAGTGGTTGAGGCAGCATCCCTGGTGGTGTTCAAAAGACGGCTTGACATGGTCCTCAGGAATATGGTTTAGTAATTTTTATTACTTATTTCTTATTTATTTTTTTGTCAGAGTTAGGTTGATGGTTGGACTAGGTGATCTTTAAGGTCCCTTCCAACCTAGATGATTCTATGATTCTATCTTTACCTGTGGTGCTGCAGAAGGAAGGAGTATCACTCCCACCTGTATTGCTAGTATGTATCACTAACTAAACGCTAGAATTTTAGTGCCTGGGGCCTAGTTCAGATGTGCCTGGGGCTACTATAAGGGACAGCATCACAGACCTTTTGAAAGTATTTAAGAGTAATGGATTAACTTAGTAAGACAACTGTGTCTGAATATATATATTATGATTACACTTACCCTGATTAGACTTTGTTATACCATTTGTTAGTGATCATCCTGAAAGTTTTATGAGATACAGTGCTTATCCCATAGCTAACATTAGGTTATCTGAAATCTGTTCCTGTCTGTCTTTACAAAAATTTAGTGTTTTTTCAAAACAAAGCAAGCAACCTGGTTATCACATTTAAAATAAAGTTCAGTTGTACAGACAGAGGGAGAAAATGACATTTTACATTTTGCAACAGAATAAGCATGCTTAATTTTAAAAAAATGTAGAATTGCAAGTATTTTTATAATTACTTTTCTTTTTCCTTTCATAAATTCAAAATAACCAGAAATTTTTCACCTTACAAATGTAACTTCATCTGAAAGTAAGAGGAATTGTTGTTTTGATTTTATAGCTGAGTCTGCAAATTAAGGGCTGCTATGGCAATTATCATCCAAAATTAGTTATCACAGCTTTTATATTTCTTATTATATATTTTGATAATATTAATTTGCATATTAAACTGAAAACCTCCACATTATGGAAGCAGGTGGTTTTTACAAACCTGTAAACCAGATGGGTAAAGTGAAGTGACATATGTGTATTTCTTTGTCTATAAGGCCTTCCCCATAATTTCTGCCCGTATAGATTGATAGGTCATTCCAGATGTAAATTAGAAGTCTAATTAGGGATCAATGAGAAAATAATCAGATAATTATTCCCTGAAATCTTGTCATTTGTCTTACAGCTGGCTGTGCAGTTGAGCTGATATATGCAGTTCTTTGCTTTTCGTCACCATTTTCAGTATGAAAGTTTTGCTTTCATTGGTTAATAAAATAAAATAAAAATTTTCAGAAACAACTTAGCAGACAAAACACTGAAGAATAAGGATAAGACCTGTACATTGAAAAGCATAATAAATTTAACAGAGTTTAGGTATCTGCAAACTTTTTTTTATTTCATGGTTACATGGAATTCCATAGCTCTGCTTGATTTCAGAATTATTTTAGTTTTTTACAGCTTTGAGACACTGGGAGTTTTGTTTCATAGAATACTAACTAAATCGTGATATCTCAGTTCATTTTTGTTTTGTTTTTTTTTCTTTGCTTTTTTGTTGGCTTTTTTATTTTGTTATTCTGCTGTTCAGGTTTGCAGTAGAACTGAGTGAAAAATATCTTTTTTTTTGCTGTGTTGAATTCTTGGTCTTTATGGAACAAGCTTATATGTTATCTTTTTTTCCATAGGCAAGAAACTGCAATTTAGACTGAGAAAAAGTTCTGTCTGAATTGGCATTTCAAGATCTGAGAGTTCAAGTACATTCTAAATGTTTGTGTTGACTTCCACATGACACTGAAATAGATACTTTTCATAGTTACTTTAAATTCTATCCTGATATGCAGTAGTGTAATAGCTTTTCTATAAATTCATTTACTTTAAATTCTATCCTGATATGCAGTAGTGAAATAGCTTTTCTATAAATTCATTTAACGACATTTTATAATATGTTACTTACTAGGTTTACAGAAAGTCAACTATTTTATAAATGCCACATGTACTCTATGTGTTTTGGGTGTTCCACATAAGCTGATAATTACTTTCATTCTTGCAAAAAATCTTAGATGAAACATTCACTTCCTTGATTTCAGGAGCTGATGCTGTGGAAGCCCAGTGTAAAAGATTTGAAGTCAGGGCAAGTGAAGGTGGAAAAGTATTGTTTTCTGCAGATGAAGATGAGATTGTCATTGGAGCTGACAGACTGAAAGTAACAGGTATGGTAATAATAAGGTTGCTAAATGGATGTAAACTTTTTTTTTTTCTCCTGCTACCCCTAGTAGTAATTAATCTATCAGTCTTCTGCAAAATTTTCATTCCTTGGAAAAGAAAAAGTCTTCTCATCATCAGTGATTGCTTGGCTCACCAAAAGATATTGCATAATCTAAAAATGAATTTATCTAAAGGCAGATTTTAATTTAAACTCTCCAGGACAGACCATGGTAAAAATCCTACCACAGTGATTTGGTTTTCATATGTTACCATGAATAAAGCATTGTTTTGTTTTATGTATGTTGTTTGTTTAGATAATGTCCCTTCACAATGATAAAACTGTTGTTATATACCATGACCTTTGTTTTCTCTGTATACAAAGTATCAAGTCTAACTTCCATGTGAATTCAGGGTCTGTACACTGCTTTACTTTAGGAGGCTCAGCTAAAGTGTAGTAAGTAGAAACCTTGTCTTGACTTGAACGTTTGTTCAATAGAATAAGAAAAATAATTCTCAGTAGTATTTTACTGTCATTTATATATATATATATAAACAGTTGTCAGTAATTAATTTGATATCAGAAATATGAAATAATTCTCAATAGTATTTTACTGTCATTTATATATATATAAAAATAGTTGTCAGTAACTAATTTGATATCAGAAATATATTAGCTTATAGAAAAAAAGAAAATCAGTTACCTCGGTTTGTTTTAGATAAATGGTTTTATTTGTACTGCTTAATAAAATCTCATCTGAACTTGGGCTGGACTTGAGCTATCCATTCATAATCTAGAATAAGACATAAAACATGAGTTGCTTCACCAGCCAGAGGTGTTTAGTTTTAGGTTAGTCTACATCGGGATACCTGAGTTTGAAATCAACCTACTAGTTTGAAAGTTCAAGTGTGTAGAAAGTATAAGATGGTTCTGATTTATGATGATTATGATAAGATATCCCTTTCTGGTCTGTAAGACTAGAAATGCAGTACTAGGAACTTTAAGCCTTTAAAAAGAATTACTTCCAAGTAATGCCAGATATAGCATTAAAACAGATCCAGGAAATCCAGGGTCAAGCTATGACTGAACTTTCTTCATAAGCCTCAAGACTTGCTTGCTGGTATTTGTGGGCCAATTTTTCTCCTTTCATTCCTATCTGACCTCTGTCTGTCTTCTCTAGCCAAGCAATCTATTTTAATACTGTTAACCCAAAAGAAAGGGTTTTTACAAGCAGGCAGTTTAGTGATGTTTCAGTATCCAATACAATAGACTAAATTAGGGTTAGGAGAGTGAGACAGTAGTCTTTTGTTGAGTCAGCAGTATTCTTCATAGATAGTAGTTGTACAAGAATTTTACCATAGTAAAACCTAAGACAACAACTAGAATAACACAAGAAGGAATAAGAAAATCATACTGAATCCTGCAAGGGTTCAAACTTGATCAGAATATTAAATATTGAGAAAGTTAATATTAAAGGTACAATCAACAGAGGAGATTTCAAAGCACCTATCATAAGTTATAAAATAAAGCATCTTAGAAAAGTCACTGAGGATTAGATTTCCTGCCATTAAGAAATGTAATCATAAATTGTAGATGTTACAGTACTTTTTTTTAGTCAGACCTCAAAAGCAAAGCATTGCTCAACTGTCTTTAATTTCAAAGTGGCTTGAGTTCCCACAGCACCTGTTGACTTCAATGGTGTAGAAAGCAGAACAACTAATGAAAATTTATTCAATGATGATTAGTGTGGGATATAAAATTGTTCCTTGAGAAAAGAGTAGGATTTTCTCCTTAATTCTAGAAATACATATGATTGTGCGTGTACTTATATTAAGCTCCCCCCCCAATTAAAAATAAATTATTATTAAAAACACAATAATATTAAAGTTTAGGAAAATCTACATTAGTGCTGCTTTGATATATTCATCTGAGTTTCAGGGATTACTATATACTTGTTGAGTCCCACCAGAGACTCTCACTACTAGAGTTGTTTGTACAAGTAATTGATTTTCCTTCTGTGGCTAAAATGAAAAATAATCAAGAGGTAGGATTGATTGAATTTTCAAAGATATTCTTTCATTGAACTAGATAAAATATTTTAGGGTTAAAACTATAAAAACATTGACTTTAATTACTTGCACACACACACAAAATAAATATTTAGGCAAAATTTAAATATCACAAAGTAAATATGCATATTGGAGGATTTATCAGGTTCTGAATGTTGGAATTTAGGTCATGAAGTCAAATACAAATTATGTGCCATTAAATAGCCTAATGTCCAAGATTTCAGGCTGTTTCTTTAGAAATCTTCTTTAGAGAAGATTTCTTTAGAGAAATACGTTTTGTAGTTATAATTTGAAAGCGTAAGACATTTTTAAATATAACTTGAAAAGTATTGTTTTGTTTTGTGTTTATTCAAAAGTTATTTAATGAAGTTGGGATAATTTTTTATGATCTCTGGATAATCATCTTCTCCTGAAATCACACTTCATTGGTAAATTATCTTGTAATGAGTCCATAAAAGACTAGTTTCAAAATTTTATGCTTTAAATCCCCAGGGGTCACTTCAGTTAACCCTTCCATCATCTTGTTAGAGGAGAAAAATATTATCCCACAAAATGAAGGAAAAAGTATTAGATTTCTAAATGGATGAGCATTTATGAAAAGCTTAGACAGAATAACCTCATATCCCAATTTCTGTATACCTAAAAGGCTTTTAGCAGCATAAGTACTAATATGCAGCCAAATAATAAAGCTGTGATGAGACATCTATGCTTTACTGTTGTCTTCAATCTAAAGCTGAAATTATTTAACATTGATTTCCCAATGGAGACTAAAAGTTGCATGATCCATGCAATCACAAGAAAAGTATTTTTTTTAAAAAAGTCCCAAAGGTTAAAAAAAAAATATCTATCTTCATGGATGAATAAAATAACAAAATCCTTCTTTAATATATTAGCTCTGAATTCTGTCCAAATATTGTGTGATACCTTTAAACTCTTCAGCAAACACAGGAAAGGTGACAAGTCCCTGTGAGTTGCATCACTCAGACTGCATTATTCTCGATGATATGATATGATATGATATGATATGATATGATATGATATGATATGATATGATATGATATGATTGATGAAACCCGGCAAGGCAGCATAATGTCAAACATCAACCAGAATTATTTTTTTTAGTGTATTTTTCTCAAGCCTATGTTTTGATAATCACAGTGCCTTGGGGTGAAATAGGAAAGGAGTTATGGAAGAACAGAGAAAAAAAAAATGAATATTAAAGAGCAAAAGTAAGCTGTGCTTATTTGGAGATGACACTCTCACATGTAGATATTTAAGTGGGGTACAATGAAAACCTGATTCTGTTTTCTTGCTTAGCTGTGACTAGTGCCTCTTTGGAAACACTTTACTATGAACAGGTCGAATAAATGATGAGTTTTGGTAATTAATTTTCTTAAGCATAACCATTTCATTGACATTTATAAACCACTATGGCAATGTGGGATTTATTTTATGATTTTTTTTCCCAAGTCAGAAGAATGCTTTTGTAATACAGAGCTTTAAAAAGCAATCTATCACCAAGCAGTATAAGAAATTCTTGATTAATAAAAACTTGAAAGATTAAGTTTACATCTTGTCAGTTATAATTTTTGTAGCATTTTTATTTCTAAATATTTACATAGGCAGCCTATTCTAGGGAGAAACGTGTAATAAAAGCAAAATCCAGATATCAGTATGTTTCCCAGATAAGAAAAATATGAAGACAGTAGTAGTACTTTTTGGTTTAGAGATATTGCAGCTATATATTTCCCTATTAAGAGTCTCTCACTTAAGAATTAGGCAGTTGACTGATTTAATTTAGACTTCTTATTCTTCCTTCCACCATTACTTTTTATTGTTATTTTTATTTTTTTTTTAAATGTGTTAGCTCTTTTCTACCCATTACTTTTTATTGTTATTTTTATTTTTTTAAAATGTGTTAGCTCTTTTCTACTTTATCGTTTAGGGAAAGAAGGAAAAAGATTCAACCTTTGCTTTGTTAGACAGGGCTGTTAGAATTGCAGCTGCCTAATGCCCCTTTGTGCGGGGATGTCTCCTACCACCAAGCTCAACGTTATCATGGAGCTTTGTAGGCAGGGAAGAGAAAGTCATGATGAAGTAACCATATTGCTAAAGGGCTGGCGTCAACCTTTGCTTTGTTAGACAGGGCTGTTAGAATTTCAGCTGCCTAATGCCCCTTTGTGCGGGGATGTCTCCTACCACCAAGCTCAACATTATCATGGAGCTTTGTAGGGAGGGAAGAGAAAGTCATGATGAAGTAAACATATTGCTAAAGGGCTGGCAAACAAACAGGAATAAACAGCTGAATTTCTGAGTGACTCAGAGGTTCCTTTCTGCATGTCGTTAAACCTTTCTCCATCCCTTAGAGGCAGCCTGTCCCAATGAATGGACAGTGTCTGTAACATCATGGAGTCTTCTTCAGTCCATCTGCAGTTACAGAGCGAGGCTATCTGTTTGATTTTTACTTCTGTTCTTTAAATCTTAATACAAAGTTTTCTGCCCTATGCTTTTACTTCATATTTCTTTTAATTGCATTATCACCTCTATAAGACATTCTTGTAGCAGAACTCAAAAACATTGTATTGGTGACACTTACAGGTAGGAGTACAAGCATATATCACAACTCAGCTTTATGCCTGCCAGAGTACTTGTGAGAAAACAGATTAAGAAGACGTAGCTCAATACACATTTTTCTGAGACACTGCTATGAAAGAAGGTTGTATTTCTTTCTATAAAAACTTTCACTCTATGTCATTTTAGTACATTTTTTTTCTCTTTTTTCTTAAACCAAACTTGTAGTTAGCAGTGGTATAAGAAGCTCTAAGCAAAAATGGAGGTCATCTATTTATGTTCCACGCAAAACATCTACTTTTTGTAGCTAAGATTTTTTTTTCTTCCTGACTTTTGAAGTGGTTTGCTCAGTTAAGGCTAAAAGCAA